CAGGTTAAGCGGTCGCTGCGAAGCCTCAAAGCTAAGGGCTCGACTTTTGGTAAAGTCACGATTGCTAAGTGTTGAGGATTCCCAAACTAAGACAAAAGACTGTTTCAGCGATTCCTGGTTTCAGTAGTTTTTCGACCCATTTTAGTTCGTAATGTGTAACATTAAAATAGCTTCAGTTCCAGGAATTGATTTGTGCAGTCAGGAATATTGGTTGCTCTATGAACGTTCTAACTAATCGAATTCACAGTATTACAGTGAGATGAATCTTACGTAAACTGCTTTACAGTAACCAAAGGTAAATTAGTGAAGGATGTTATTATTATTGTCAGATTATATATATATATATATATATATATATATATATATATATATATATATATGCAAATGCATCAGTAAGTTCATTTTAGGATGGAATTCAAACAAGCGGAGGAAGGCATTAATTAAATAAAGTTTGGAAAGAGATAAGTTTGGTCCTATGATAAGTTGTGAACAGTTAGCATAAGTTTCAGATCAATTGAAAATAGGTACAAAAAAAGTTTAGTTACGAGTTGGTAATTGTTCAGACTTAGAAATCGATATGATAAGTTACTCAATGAATAAACAAGATTTGAAGAGTTCACCTAGTTTTAGAGAACGGAGTGAATAAAATAAAGCCTATGGATGATAGAATAAATTTGATATGAGGAAAACAATTAGTTTGCCTGACGACCATATGACAGAATAAGCACTATAGTAATAATAATAAATGTAGAATTAGTAGTTCCAGGTGAAATTAGTCAAGGAAGTGAGTTAACTAAATTAATAAAAAGTTGATTACTGTCTCTTTCTAGATGCATAAATCAGGTTTAAGTTTGTTCGTTGTTACTGCTTCGATTAACCGGAAAGATTCGGAGTGTTTTGTCTGCCGATAATTTTAAAGGATTGAGAAATGTCAGCGGTATACCCGGTATCAATTACATATCAAGCTACTGCATTAATTCAAGCCGTTATGTCTCTCAGTTTGAAATTCTTTGAGACGTACACGGAAATGAAATCATCTACTCTTCTTCACATATATTTCACATTATATTACACATTACTACATATCAATGGTTGTAAGCAACTTTTATAAAATATCACAAAATCCAATGAATTCATATTATTCTGCTTCAATTTTTATTTTAACTTTATTCACAATCATTAAGGGAATCAATTAGATGAGGCACATATTCATTCACTAGCTGAGAATTAATTGTTTTAATGTTAAACTTGAATTTAAATGTTTTACTTTAGCCTTAGTATACTCACTAATTATAAAAATCTATTAGTATATGTGAACACATAAACTTAGTGAAATAATAATGTTATCCATTTGATAAACATTGAATCTTCAATCGAATTCATTTCAAAATGATAAATTAATCATAATATTAAGATATAAACTTGTATATATAAATATAATGTTGTTTAGAAATGATCTTATGAAAATTGAGAATGATCTTAGATAGTTTGTATGTACATTAAACCGATACCTGGTCAGTCAGTCAGTCAGTCAGTTACAACATAGCACCAGTCACATATATGCATCAGTCCAAGTTGCTATACTGCATTAGCACAGTAAGATGAACACCGGACTCATAGGAGTGGTTAAGTCAATAGTGGTAATATATAAAAGAAACATTGTATATAAGGATAGAGTGCAGGAAGAAACAAAGGTATGAAGTGATTTTAATCTCTTAGTTTAAGGGTTGACAGAGAGTGTATACACCTACAGCATTGTGATCGATTCGGAGCCACGTCACCAAGAGTCTCCAACCATTGGTTACGATAGTCACGCGGACCCTTACCATGTAGTCTGCATCTACGAACATGGTACAGACTAGAAGTTAGTGTCTTCAAGCACTGATACCAGGTTTTGGTTTGGCTGCTCCTAACTTTCCTCCAACCATTCTCAACACCAGTTAGCATTGCACGTCGTGGTAATCGGTGTTCAGGATTATGTAACACATGGTCCAACCATCTCAGTCGATGAAGATTCACAACCTCATCAACTGATTTACCACCATCATTCCTTAATACCCTGCGTCTGATTTCACTATTACTTACCCGATGGTCCTAGCACATGCAAGCAATATTTCTGAAGCGTATGTGGTCAAATACTAATAGCTTTCGAGTATCCTCTACTCCTAATGGCCATGTTTCGCTGCTGTCGCGCAGTATACTCGTCGTTTTATTGATAGACGGATATCTCGCCTTCGCCATAGGTGACGTAATTTGGCATAAGTCAAGCGAGCTTTTCGAATCCGTGCTGAGATTTCGTCAGACACCAACCCATTAAGGCTGATCAGACTTCCAAGATAAGTGAAGTTATCAACAAGTTCGACTACTTCACTCCCTATCCTTAGTTCAGGTATTGACGCAGACCAGTCCTGAAGCAACAACTTGCATTTAGAGGGAGAGAACCACATTCCAAACATCCTAGCATTGTTGCTTAGTGCTACCAGAAGAACCGATGCCTGGTAAAATTTATTTTAATAAAATATTCAAAATCACGATCGATTATTATGATCAAATGATCTAAAGTATATTATGCTAATAATAATATTACATAATATTGATTAATTGAAAGAAGTTCACATTAAATTGTTGAAATAAATTTCATGAAAGCTGATCATCTTTAACAATATTTATATGCTCTTGAATAGAGTGATTTCTTTATAAGAATTTAAACTTAGGTTATATGTTATCATAAAATCACAGTAGTTACCATTGTCAGTATGGGGGTTGTGGAGATTGTTAAGTTTTTGGTTGAGATCATGAATTAATTGATGTTAGACCACCGTTGGAAACCTGGAAGCACTGGACGGCCGTTTCGTCCTAGTATGGGACTCCTCAGCAGTGCGCATCCACGATCCCGCACCCCGCGGAATTAGAACCCAGGACCTACTGGCTTCGCGCCTGAGCACTTAACCATTAGGCCACTGAGCCGGCATCCATTGGTGTTATTGTCTAACATCAACCAATCCACGAAATTGCGCAACCACCTTCCATTGTACTGAGGTAGATACCTGTCTCTACCCGACACGGATTAGCTCCACTGGTCACGAATTCTCACTAGAACTCCGAGAATTCCCTCACGAAACTAGTCACTAGTGAGCACATGTTAGCATTGTGCTATTCAGTAAGTAAATGACAATGAGATTGAACTAATTGATAAATTAGAAACAATCAATTTTTGTTATCTAATCCGGAAAACTAAATGAATCCTGTCGATCAAATTTGCATTAGACCAATAGTTTTTTTGTTGATATTTGAGGAAATTCTCAATCTAGATAATACAAATTCGATGAAAGAAATTTTTACTTTTGACGTTTGGTGGAGTTTTGTTCTCTGAGCTGGATGGTTTGGTCGTGGAGCTTTCATCGTTCTTCTGAACGACATCATCAGCTGGTAAAGAATGAAGTAGTCGAACGCGTTGACATTTTAACTTATCTTGTACGTTTGATCAGCCCTAATGGGTTGGTGTCTGACGAAATCTCAGCACGGATTCGAAAACCTCGCTTGATGATGTCGTTCAGAAGAACGCTGAAAGCTCCACGACCAAACCACCCAGCTCAGAGAACAAAACTCCACCAAAATCATCCACGTGAGCTACAAATCTTCTCCATCATCTTTTAATTTTGACCACTTTATTCGAATTTTTATTCTTAATTCACTAAATCATACCTTAAATAAAATTGATAATGAACTAGAAGTATAAGTCTGTTTAGTTTTTTTAATACATTCAAGGTTTACAATGGTAGTCTAGCTTCAATTGACTCATGATCTCAACTATTGACATTCAATTAAGTAAGATTAATGGATTTCAACAGGTAAAATCAATGGATGTTCATTCAATTTCTTTCTTAATTTCTATGCTATTCATTCAAATAATATTATGATATATATAACTGTGTACACGAGTAAATATTATAGTAGTCAGTATGGTTATCTCAACATTTGTGCATAATGTTATACATACCTAATGTGAATTACATACGTGCATACATACACAACACGATATATAGTTACTCATATTTGATATGGACCAAAATCACATAACACAGAGAATTGAGGGCAGTCATCAAAAAGATGAACAGCATTTCAAAACAACTGGAAAATAGTGCCCAGATGAGTCGGTTGGAGAATCCTGGTCTTCGGTCTAAGCTCCACGAGGGGCAACGGTAGTTAGTTATCAAATAATAAACTTCGTAAATTCACGCAGTAGATTATTATTATCGAGAAACTATCTGACGATGACTTTCAACGACATAACCGACGATCGGCAGCATAGAGCCGGAGATACCTGAGTATTTATGATTTATAAAACTACTTCATACTTTTCTGTTTACAATTTCAATAGGTCCATTTTGGAATTTATTACTGGGAATAAGCTTGTCATTGTGAGAAATATGCTTAACTCTCTCTCTCTCTCTGGTTATACCAATATATGCAAATGGCAGCTAAGATGGTTACGCATTCGTGCAAATACACCTATTACTGAGTAAGAGGTTTTAAGCATATCAAGTTAGTTAGATTTACACATCAGCTTCGGAAAGAATCAAATTAATAAAAAAAGATACTGAAAATATACACCCTACTAAACTTAGATTAGCCTTGTTTTTATCATTCCATCAACCACTTCACATTAGTGATTAACTATTTGTTTAAACCTCATGATTGATTTGGTTTTTTATGCCATACACTGTCCCAGTAACTCAGTCAGTTGATTTAGGCAACTTGAATGTGGTGTAATATTTATGAGAGTCTTACGAAATACTGATACATGCAAAACAATTGAATATTTACTTTGTGCACAATTACACTTAAATAACAGTATGGATAAACCGACGCGAACAATAAAAGGTAACGATAGATGTAAAGTAACAGTGAGTTTACGATTGTTTAGGTTTTCAGAAACTCGAATTGATAATACTGAAATCATCTGAATTTGAGTTCACTTACATCGAAAGTGCTTGTAACAATTACCTATATGTTAACAAAATCAAAGTGAAGACATAAAGCAACATCACTAGTGAAATAAATAGATTTTATGAATGAAAAGAAAAATATTGCACTTTGTTAATAACAAAGTTTTAATCTCGAGTTGTTAATGAGTAAACATAATTTCTAATCAATCCGTGAATATCGAAAAAGATAATTCGATTTATCTGACTCGATACCATATTCATTCCAACATTCTCTCAAAAGTCTTTCATTTCGCCGAACCCTATATCTAAATTTGGTTGTTAATACAAATGAACTAAATAAATTACTTTGCTTCGACATACACAAGTCTGCATAAATCGTCTTCAGTACCTTCTTCCAGTTCTCACTGTAATCAACATAGTGTTGTTCTTGAGTTCTACCATTCATCTTCAACTGGGGATAATCAAACAGTTCACTATTCGGCTCAAAAACACTCAAATAGGTGACCAATCGACCAAATATACTACTCATCTTGTCACTGACTGACGGTCGAGATGAATTCGTCAAATATTCACAGTCAGTGTGGTAATAAAATGGATCACCGGATATTTGACGGTACAGCTTCCGCAACTCAATCAATTCTCTCAAATCTTCGAAAAACACTATACACACAGATCGCACCATCCGACTGGCAATCTGATGTGCGATTCGTGTACGGATAAATCTAGCTGTCAAGTCCTCGAAATACTGACTGATATCTAGTTTCAGAGGACGTACCAAACCAACATTATTTATAGGTCTGATTGGGTGTTCCAAATCACGATGCTTCGTCGCCATGTGAAACACATACAGTTTCGAGACCCAACTACCAGTAATACGCATCGCTTCGATTTTATCATGTTCGTCTGTCAACCCATACCTATCCATTAGATCACTTCTCAGTATCGCACATGCATAACTGTCTCTCAACAAACCACACGGAGCAAATCTGTTCTCCTGGAAATAATTAACAACAGCAGCAATCATCACTCGAATACATGCATCTGTCATTTCAGCATCGATCACATCCACCATTTCACAACCGCTTGCAACATTGTCAACGGTCCATCGGCCATAGTACCAGGCACCATCTTGACGATTCTCCACTACTCTGTCAGGTGTGGAGATATTTTCGACAGGTGTTTCTCCATCAGAAGCAGATCGTTCATTTGAATCCGACGATTCGGGCACTTCTGCAAGTAGTCCAGCGAGAATCGCAGCACTGGCAGCATTCGCCAGCCATTTTCGAAGGGGTTTGGAAACCGACTCACCAACATTTTTGTAGACGTATGCAGAGGCCATTGCGGCAAACTTCACCCAGGCATTCTTAACAGGTCTGAAATGGTCTGTGTTGGACTGAGGCATCATACTCTTGTCGAGCATTAGCATGAATCGAGTATCGAGATCAGATAAAGCAGTGAAAGACAACTCATAATTGAAATCGCCATCTACATGTCGCAAACTATCAGACAGAATGTGCTCCAAATCATTAGCCAAATTATCCAAATCCTCAGTCTTCTCAACCATGTTCTACAAAAGAAGTTCGAAATCGAGACTATAATGATGTGTATATTCCTGTATTTAGATTGATTAGGTTTGGAAAATTTTCTAATGATTTATTACAAGATAACGAAGAATGGTGACTACCTAAACTATATTAATTACTGGTCCAAACAACAATTCGGTTGAAATAAGTGTTGTGAATCTTCATTTAGTGAATTACTTTCTAATATTCATCACTACATTATTCCTCAAAGGAAGAACACATGTACATGGAGAACTGTTATGTTCTTTATCATTTGAGTACCAAATATAGCATGAGAATTTCATCTTGTAGGGCCAGTGAAATGTCACTGAGCCCTAGCCAAATCATCCGGCAGTTGTACCACTGAATGTCGAACAGATCATCGCTCCCTGCCAAGGTCATGTACAAGCAACGCGCATTAGTTTAATCATACGCCATGGACTGGCCCATGCGGTAGTGGTCTTACTTTGGCTTGTATCTACCTTAACTAATATATTTCTGTAATAACGTCCTCTGTGTTGTACAGTCTTCAAAGCATCTATGGTACCTTGATACGTCAATGGGGTAGTCCACGTAAGGTGCTGACCACGAGGTGTGACTTCGACGTTAGCTACTTTATCACACCATTCGCGTCTAACTCGAGTAGGCCTCCAATCATTTCGACAAAGATCATCTATGTTGGTGATCTACAATCTATTATGCAGGCATATGTTGTGATTACCATTCTATATCAAATATCGAGACAAAATCCCTTCTCATTCTACAAATCATCACTATAATCGGTCGTTGATAAGTGACTGTAAAAAATTGGGACTGGTCCTATGCAGATACGTGACATTTTACGGTAGACTCAGTATTAATTTAAACACACAGGTTAGGTCACAAGAAAGACGTGATTCAGTGAAGAAATTCTTCACAACCAACTCATTTTTAAAACATCACAATACCGTATATGTGTAATGAATCTCAAACTTATAAACAATTTAAATATTCTTTTACTAAAGCTTATGACTAAATTACATTGTCTTATCGCTCCATACACGACGTACATATATCAACAGACGCTGACTGGTTAACCACAACGACATGAAGTCACACTTTAAATCTCATGAAATAGGAAACCTGCCTTTCACTAAATATTCCAATCAAAATTTGTAAGCGCTTTAAAATATTAACCTGAGTAGAGGTCATAAATTGGTTACGTACCTCTAGTTGAATATTCAGACCAGGTAATTCAGTAGATAAGTGAGATGAGTCGGCACTGGAAAAGCTGAGTTAGCGACAATATCAGTGATGAAAAAGCATAAATGGCATTTACTGGAAATCACCATCAAGCCATAACCTAAAGACAAATCTAACGAGACGATGGAAAAGTAGACGTCTTAGCGCATTACCCCATTGTTTACCCCTTAGTTTCTAACAGAGTATTCTCTTTATTTCCCCTACTTTTGTCGCTGTACATGATTATATATAAACCATACCAGACTTATCATAACTATGTTATTGTATTCACTGAAAATCATCATCAAGCCATAACTTAAAAACCAATCCGTGTATACACGGGAAAAGGAGGAGCCGATGAAAAAGAAGACGTTTCGGCGCTTTGCCTCACTGTTTTCCCTCAATTTTTAACGAAAGATCCCTATTATTTCTTTTTTGTTGATTGCTTGGGGCATTTTACCTGATTCGACATAATCCACTCTGGACTTGTCATTTCCTCACAGATACTTCATTGTAGTTTTGTTGTTACAAAACAGTTTTATCCACAGCTCTGCAGTCTCATACTACGTAGGGCTCCTTCCAATACAATTACTATTTGCTTCCCTGCATTAAGTAAGACAGACTCACGTTAGTAACGTCACATGTAACTATTTTCATTATTGTTACATACCGACGACCTTCGGCATATGATGTGTGGCCTTCAGATTAGCTTATTAGAAAGCAACCTTCAGATTCACTGTTAACTTCTGTAAGAGTCCAGTCTTCCTTTGAATGAATCAATTAAAGGTGCGGACATCACTGCTTCGTGTAACAGTTTCCAGGAACTGAAGATGCCACAGGTATTCGGAGGTTGACAACGCTTTAACCAGTAACACCTAATATATCTTCAGTCAGTCTTCAGTAATAAGGATAGTAGGTTGGTGAACCTGTATTAATCCTGACACATTGCTTTCCTGTGAAGGTCCAGCTCCTCCTTGAAAGTATTCACTGATGGGGCTGATACCACTTGTTCGGGTAAGGCGTTCCAATTGTAGATCACCAACGTAGACGATCTATGTCGAAATGATTGAAGGCCTACTCGAGTTAGACGTGAATAGTGTGACGAACCAACTAACGTCGAAGTCACGCCTCGTGGTCAGCACCTTACGTGGACTACACCCATTGACGTAACAAGGTACTATAGATGCTTTGAAGACTGTACAACACAAAGGACGTTATTACAGAAATATATTAGTTAAGGTAGATACAGGCGAAAGTAAGACCACTGCCGCATGGGCCAGTCCATGGCGTATGATTAACTAATGCGCGTTGCTTGTACATGACCTTGGCAGGGAGCGATGATCTGTTCGACATTCAGTGATCCAACTGCCGGATGATTTGGTTAGGGCTCAGTGACATTTCACTGACCCTACAATACTCCCCCACCAGATTCAACGGCCGTTTGAATCGGTACCAAACATGTTGGGAGCAGTCGCGCGCCAGAGAGTGCCAAACGAATATTATAAATCCTCCAGGTATTGCTTATCTGTAAAAGAAATGGAAAGGAGGCGGCAGAAACTGGTCGGGAAACAGCGAGTCATAATATGTTAGTAGGACGTTCGTTAAACGTAAAGCGATTAACCATAGAAATAATGAAAAGAACAAAACGTTTTATTGTTCTATCAAGTCGCGCTGAAATATATAGCGTTGACAAGTAGTTCAGTTCCTCCGATGACAAACGTTAAGTCTGCCGCAAGAGTAATGATGCTATAGCGATAGTAGGATAAGTGTACTATCAATCGATGTCCATATTTGTACTGTCATTAGTTTAAAGTTGTAAGTCGGACAGTGTCGTTGACAGCTATTAATTAGTGTCAAATTCTAGTTATATCTATATCTAACAGACTAACCGTAAGTACAGAAGTATAACAGTGAAGAGTGGTCGTGATTTCGTTGTGCGAAGCTATTGACCAACTTGTAGTCACAATTTGAAAAGTCGATGACTGCTGTTACAGTCAGTAAGGGTTGAAGGCTACAAATCGACAGCAAAAAGTGGCACGATGAAGTCTCTAAAAGATGATTAACGGTGAATGCTGCGTGTTTGTTCGGTTAGTGAACAGAAAAATATCGAAAAGAACATAAGAAACCAAGAGTGTCACTCTGGACTCATGTCAATGATACCCGTGAAAAACGCTGTCAGTGTTGGGATACAGGGGACAATATCGTTTTCAGTTTGCAGGAGATTCGCTCGACTGCATAAACTGATGATTCGCGCGAATGATATTGTCGTCAGACCACCAATTGAACTGGACAGGTTGTAAATCGTCGAGTAGTTGAACAGCCGATTGATGTGCCGGAATCATCTGTTAAATAACAGCCACGAGGAAACAATACTTCATAAAATGAAGTACGACATCGAAGTAGAACAACTACAATAGTTCAGATGTGTTACAATGTCAAGTCTAAATAACATCGTTCTTACGTATACTGACAGTTGCACTGAACGTTCGTTTAGGTATAGTTAGCGTAACAGTTGGATGTGTGAATAAAAACATATACGAAAACTATGGTTGGGTTCGTGGAGAATTTTCGAGGACGTTTAGATATTTTCCAAACCCGTATGGCATGTAAATAAACCGAAAATAGAATTAAAATGACTGTCGTGTAATAAGGAAATCGAGCCATGATTTACCGTGTGAATTATTAGCAAATACAAGGGGTATAATAAACATTAATTAAAATGGTAACCACCAATGTAACTAAGGTCTAGAGGATCCAGGTAACGTGGCCATTTCGTAAAAGGCTGATACAAAGAGCTTATTACCTAGCGTTAAGTGACATATTAAGTACGACATGTGTACTTGGGACATGGACTAAGCATGCTCGTGTACATGCAATATGTTTTACCACAGTATGTCGACTAACGAGTCATAAATATACATGATTTCGACTAAAACTTGACGGCAGTGACAGAATATATGACTACTTTAAGTGAAAGCAACTACGAAATGCTATCACGCATCATAAATATAGTACGAAATAATCTAATGAAATTATGAAACTCGCCTGGGTTACTCTTGCCTTTAAGTAATGAAGTAGGCAGTAGTTTGAATCTGGATTATGCACGAGGTACTGTTGATTAAATTTTTCGGTTAACACAACGTTGTAGACTGACGAACAGTCTAAACGAGATCTAAGATCGCAGGAAATTTATAGTTCAAACTCACCGTGAATTTCTAGCATTCGTATCCTCTGTTTGGCCATGGAACTCAGCAATTGGAAATTAGGCAGGCAGTGGTAAAAAAAAAGCAGAACATTCTAGTGGATAGTGGTTAAGCAGAAAGATGAATTTATAGTCGATAGTTAATCTTGTCTTATTTATACCAGTGGATAAGGTACAAAGAGATATGCGTTCGTGTTGCCTTGTGGCTATACTCACGAGTGGTTGATATTTTAACAGACATATTACACAGGAGCATTTACATGCTGCTAATGCTTGTTAAAGAACCACGATAGCCGATTATAATCGTAGTTGATTGGTTAGTTCTGTCGATTGAACGAATTATCTAGGTTTAAATGCTAATCAACATTGACATGAAGCAACGAAAGTTCACAGAAACAGATTAACATAGGCGATGATAAAAATGAAAAAGAATAAGTATAGAATACAATAATAAAGATTATAGTGATAGGTTGCGTTATTCGAAGTCTTGCTCACCAGTGTAGATCACCAACGTAGACGATCTATGTCGAAATGATTGAAGGCCTACTCGAGTTAGACGTGAATAGTGTGACGAACCAACTAACGTCGAAGTCACGCCTCGTGGTCAGCACCTTACGTGGACTACACCCATTGACGTAACAAGGTACTATAGATGCTTTGAAGACTGTACAACACAAAGGACGTTATTACAGAAATATATTAGTTAAGGTAGATACAGGCGAAAGTAAGACCACTGCCGCATGGGCCAGTCCATGGCGTATGATTAACTAATGCGCGTTGCTTGTACATGACCTTGGCAGGGAGCGATGATCTGTTCGACATTCAGTGATCCAACTGCCGGATGATTTGGCTAGGGCTCAGTGACATTTCACTGACCCTACACAATGATTGACTACTCGATGAGAAAAACGGGACCCCACCTTAAGTTTATTAGATCGCGGTTTGTGAACCTTCTTGATATGACCTCGAAGATTATTAGTGCTGGAGGGAGCAAAAAGATGATATATATTAACACCCAAATCATAATTAAAGATACGAAATGCCAGTATAAGGTCACCTCGTGTCCTACGATACGACAAGGGGAAAAGATTTAGGCGTTTTAAACGCTCATCGTAAGGGAGCCTAGAAAGACCCTTCATTAATTTCGTTTCCACACGCTGGACACGCTCAAGGGAGTTGGTATCCTTTACCAGACACGGGCTAGCTGCTTGGATACAGTACTCTAAATGTGGTCTTATGTAGGTGGGATATAAAATTCGAAACGTTTCCTCGTCAAAAGATTTGAACGTTCGTCGAAGTGACCATAACGCACGAAAACCTTTGACAGCGGCTGGTTTGCAATGCGTAGTTGTTTTTAAATCATGACTTAATACTACTCCTAAGTCTTTATGCTCTTGAACGCATGGAAGAGGTTTACCCTCAATAGTGTAGCGGTAACTATTACCGTGACCGATGTGCATTAGCACACTCTTCCTAGCATTGATTTCTAAGCCTCACTCTCGAGCCCATCTAACTAAATCGTCTAAGTCAGCTTGAAGATCCAGATGATCAGCCGCACTTTTTATTGTTCTCTAGATTTTTACATCATCCGCAAACAATAATGTCGACGACCTAAGTAACAGTGGTAACTTATTAACGTAGAGAAGGAAGAGCAGGGGGCTTAAGATGGCGCCTTGGGGTACACCACTTTTGACCGGCATCCAATCAGATAGCGTTCCCTTGGCCCTCACTCTCTGTCTGCGGTCACATAGGAAATTTCTTATCCACTCATGTACAGTACCTATTATTCCGAAGCTCGTCAGCTTGTGCAAATGACCTACGTGTGAAACCTTGTCAAATGCTTTGCTAAAATCTATGAATATCACATCGAAAGACAGACTGTTATCTAGGGCTGCTGTCCAATCCTCCCTCGCGATAAGCAATTTAGTCAAGCATAAACGCTTGTTACGAAATCCGTGTTGCTCAGGAGCTAACAGATTGCGTAAATCTATGTGGCTTAGCAACCTAACCCGAATTATCTTTTCAAGTAACTTAACGACTATGCTAGTTAGACTGACAGGCCGGTAGTTAGATACTATCTGCCTCTGACCGTCCTTAAATATAAGACTGGCTAGAGCGTCCTTTCAATCTCTAGGGAGTTGAGCGAGTGAAAGGGATATGTTGAATAGCGTCGCGAGCGGTTTTGAAATAATGTCCACAAGAGATGACAGCAACCGTGGATGTAACCCGTCAGGGCCCGGTATCTTACCAGGTTTGAGGTTAGTTATCAATGGAAGGACAGTTTCCTCAGTTACCTGTACAGATTCAATGGTTGGTATCTCGGTGTGAGTGGGACAAGTATTTGTTACAATAAACGTAGAGAAGACTTCACTAAAATAGTTTGAAAAAGTCTCAGCTTTTGCTCGATCTGATTCAGCTAGTAATTCTGAATTTTCGTATAACAGTAACGAGGAAATACCATCACTACGTTTCATTCACCGTTTAACATACGAAAACAATCGTTTCGGA